CAATCAGGAATGTCACCAAAGCCCTTTTGCTAGTGAGAAACATGAAATGATGCTCTTAAAGCTTAGAGACAAAGTCTGATGAAAATAGTTAAAAACTTCTGAACTCTTCACAATGAAATGCAGTCTTATTAAAGCTTTAAGGCAAGAAGACTAACAAGTGTCCCAATTAGTCAGTGAGCACAGGTTTTAGTGATATTAAAGCAGTATTACTAGGCAACTGTTACCTTTTGGCCATGAGGTACATTGCGATTTGCTTTTTTGTTTGTTTGTTTTGTTTTTTACAACACAGAATAAGAGAGAAACGTGTGTGTGTGTAAGTTCCTCCTGTGAGAGCAAACATCACCCTTTCCTCTAGACACCTATTAAAAACTGAATTCCTGCACTAACTGTTTGTGTTCTCAGTAAACTTCTCTAGCGGAGTTGTCGTCTGGCCAGACCCCTCTTCTCCCTCCCTGTGTCGTCCTCACCCCTGGTCTTCAGTGCTATCAACATGTGGCACATGTCCTTGACACACTCAACAAACTCTATCCACGGCTCATTTCCCTCACCTCTCCCTCTCTCTCTTTTAATATGAGGTTGCCTGGTAAAGAAAGCAGGAATCTAATAACGGTGACAGTGGGGCTGTTTTGTTATTGTTCCCTCAATCTCAGACAGAGAGGCTATGCGTACATTAATGAAATGGATAGAAAGAAACGGCATGGAACAAAAACATTATAATATAAGAGTATTCATTGCATTTTATGTGTAAAACAACTACTTTTTCAAGAAATACACAAACAGTATGTGCTAAGAGACTAAAAAATTGAGAATTAGAGTTAATGTGAGAGTCAGATGCTTTATTGTTTAAAGTTCTTGGCTGTGTGTTCATCTTGTGTGTGTGTGAACATGCTTGGCTTCTCTCATTCCACAGATGCTGAGAGGAATTTTTGCACAGGGTTCTCTGATAAATGTTAAGGTCATAGAAAGAGAAAGCGAGAGAGACAGAGAGCGACTGATGAGACTGATGGCAGAGGGAGGACGGGACACATGTCTCGTCTTGTGCATCGCTGCTGTGACTGCATTAGTGGAATGCTACAGTCACATGAAAGAGCTCTCTGAGACGCGGCATTTCTGTCTGCTCAAAAGCTGCACTGTCCCCCTCTCTGCACACTCACGCACAGATAAACACACCGAAACACACATACACACATACTTAAATACAATTATTTATCAACACACCACCAATTAAAAGTATATATGAATAAAATTACTGCACTTAAAAAAAAATAATAATAATACTGCAGTAAATGTTTCCCAACCTCTCTGTAAATAATCATCTAATAAACTAGGCAGCAAAACTAATCAAAATAAAAGTGACTAGGTCAGGACAACAGCATGTATCTATTAATAATTCTTAAAACACTAGGAAACAGGATTAAAAAGGACTTCCGAAACAATTAAAAAAATGTCATTTTAACTTCAGCATCAACAATCGCTTAATCAAATTACTCCAAAGTACCACAGAGAATCAATAATACACAGAATGAAGTTTAAAAAAAAAGATGAAGAAAAACATTTGTCAAAAAAGACACACTAAATATTTTACTTATTTTTCTTAAAAAAATAAAAAATATATAATTAGCATTTTAACATATATGCAGTATAGCTCAGCTTCATACATTCAAGTGGCCATGTGCTGCTGTGTAGTTCTGGGGGATTTATTTAAGACCTACCACTTATCTTGTCATATCTGATTTTTTTTTTTAGCGCTCTAGTCCAAGCTCAGTCAGAAGTGACACTTTTTAATCAAACCTTTCCTTGGACCTCACAGGATCGCTAAACAGCTTTATCCCTGTTCTTTTTTATTAAGAGACAAATGCACTTCTGGAAATCCCATTGTTTCCAGCTCATTTTGTACGACACAATGTGAAACATCTTATTCTGTAGTACCTCCATATAAACTATAAAAAATAAATCACCCACAATAATCATACACCTCCCCACTGAGTACTTTAGTCACTGCAAGGCTTCTGTTTTGTGCTATAGCTTGTAGATCCACAACATCCAGCCCAGCTTGGTTCTCTCCACAAATAGAAGTGAATTATTGTCTTAGTTCTTTAAGAGAGCAGAGGTTACCCTTAAACTATCATTTCCTCAGGTCATCAATCCAGTTCTAGCAGCTGACACACCAGAGTATTTCTGTTTTACCTCAACATTTACAGCTATCCCGCAACAAAATACCCTTGGCAATGAATCACAGAAATACAACAGAGAGCGCATACTCTTGTTGTAGAAAAATTTCAAAAATGCTATTTTAATAGGGGAAAAAAGTGTTTGTTGGACACTTTAGTGATGATGCCTTGTGTGCATATACAAAACCACAAATCCTAAAAAAAATAATTGCAACAACAAACATAACATAATTTCTATGACCCCTCTGGAAATCAATACTTAAAACAATATTTTGTTGTATTTAAGTTGAAACCCCTGTATTTTATTTGAATCTTACATTTCTTAAAATGTATGATGTTTCCTGATCAATTCATATACAATTTTTAAAAACACTTGTGATCTAACTATATATTGTGACATTGCTAGAATAAACTATGAAGCCTAATTATTGTAACAAGTTCTCATTACTGAAATGAGATTTAAAATGGTCTCATCTGCATGTTTTTCTTTCATAGTTTTTCTACCAAATATATACAATGTGTTTTTTTTTTTTTTCTTTAATTATCATTCTGGTCTCTCAATGAAATAACTGTCTGTGTTTTAGTTCAATTTCATAGTCTTTTTCTTCAGGTCATTCATTCACACATTCACTTATAAGGCCCATCACAAGAATCAACAGACGGACAAAGGAGGAGAAAATGCCTCTTTTTTTAAAGGAGGAGAAAATGCCTATTTTCTAACAGCAAATATACAAAACTTCAAAAGAAATTTGAACCGTAACACTATTCTCTGCTAGGTATTCTCACTGTTTTGCTGGTGTTATGACCAACCTGTCGTACCCACCCCATCCATCCATAATACACTGTCTGTCTATCAGATGAGTTTCAGCAGTGCTCTATATTCCACTTTTCTCGTTTACAGGTTGCACTAGTATAAGGCTTTTCTTTTTTTTACTTAATACAAGGAGCACAAATTATTATTATTATCAATATTTTTTTAAGTAGTCCTGCATTTCTACTTAGAAACTCAATTTTACATGTGTCACCAACACAATTCACAGAGAGGTTCAAGATCAAATAAGCAGTGTGTGTGTGTGTGTGTGTGTGTGTGTGTGTGTGTGTGTGTGTGTGTGTGTGTGTGTGTGTGTGTGTGTGTGTGTGTGTGTGTGTGTGTGTGTGTGTGTGTGTGTGTGTGTGTGTGTGTGTGTGTGTGTGTGTGTGTGTGTGTGTGTGTGTGTGTGTGTGTGTGTGTGTGTGTGGAGAGAGTAGGCAGAGGGTCAGAGAACACAGGGCTAAGTGGACCTGCTCTTCATTAAGACAATGTCTCCGGGGGACGTCACTAGGGCTACCTGTCCATGCGCTTATTGAACCGTCTAACCATCATCTACCCTCTTACTCTGCCAGGGCCCCTGGAGAATCACACCAGCACAGCTGACAAGTTCAGCCTTAGACTGCGCCTGCAACATGAAAGCACCTCTTCATTTTACCTCCTCCTTCCCTCTCTCTCGCACACCCTCTCATTTCTCCCATACTCCTGCCCTGAACCTATGGTCTTTTTTTTTTTAAGAAAAAAGGAGATGGAACTGAGAAAGACAAAGAGAAAGAGAGCAAGGAGGATAGAGATAGAGAAGGGGGACATAACTGCGTTTGACTCTTGACATGGAGCAGATGAAATGTTAAGTGTCCAGAAAAGTCCGGGGAGCCGTGCAGATAAAAGTCATCAAATGACACTCTTGGAATGCAAATTGGCATTCTTGACTGCAGCACTTGAACAACTGTGCCCCATCACAGACAGCCGCTGAGATTAGGACAAAAAATATATAATAATAATAATTTAAACCGCCAATCTCATAAATCCTTAAGTAGAGTAACGGGGAGATTTTTTTCCCCCAATTGAATATATTCAGAGATATCTCCTCCTTGTCTCTGCGTTCACTGAGAGTGAAATACCTCAGTGTTCACCTGCCCATGTAAATCACTTTCTCTCTTTTCAGAAAAATAAAAGCAATAAACATTATGATAAAAAAAAGAAAATATTGTAATCATCACCAACAGGTTGCACATAAATCTGAAAATAATTTTTAAATGAATTAATTTGGTTGCATTTGAGTATTGCTCGGATGATTAGTGTACAAAAATACATTGAAAGTAAATCATGACGATTGCTGCCATTTAAAACCAGGTTTGAAAGCTGAATAATTTTGTCTTGGAATTCATAAACATTGATTTGTGTGAACTTATTTAATTTTATTTCAAGGATATGTTTCCACCATATAAGATATTCTTTCAAAAAACAAATCTATATTACATTATCTATAAATTCTGTTATTGTATGTTATATATTTTATATGTAGCCTATCCATTATAGTTGTAGATGAGTCAAATTCAGATGATACTTATAAAATTGGACCTATTTGACACATAACCTATTAACGTTTTGATTTATTTCTATGATTGTATTTTTATTTTATTTTTTACATAAGCGACCTAGCGACAGCTGTGCACTCATATGGTGTTTTTTTATGTAATGAGAAAAAAACTGAGATGAAAGAAATCCCCAGGTAAAGCAGTTTAACTTTAACTTGCTTGTTAAAGCAAGTTTGTAAACATGCTCACGGCGGTAGATTTTCTGATTAAACTTCTTGACCAACACTTTCGATAAACTTCAGCAAGTCATACCGGTTAACAGATTTATTTGTATCAAAGTTTCATGACATTTGTAACTATTTAAGTGTACGTGTAGTGGTCGTAATGAGCGCTATACTGTACAGTAGGCTATAGCCTACTGTTTGTTAATGGCATTAATGAGAGTTATTGTAAAGTGTTCATTTGTTGATCGCTCATACTCACCATTTCTTCATATTGTGTGAATGGCAGAATGAAGTTCAGTCAGATCTCGCCCTCATGTGGGGGGACTCTCTCCTCTTCCCTCTTCTCTTCTTTACGCAAATCTCTCTAAACTCACTCAAAACTTTATGTCTGTCCCTTCAGTTTTAAACCGATAATAATATTGGGAACAACGAGAACAACAGTCCTCTATCGTTTAAAAAACATTGATTTAAAAACACGGAGTCAGTTCTGCGCTCTCGTCATTCGCATGTACCGGGTCTCAGTAAAGCGAAAGAAGCACGTTGGCTGAAATATAAGCTGTTTCGGTGGATCCAGAAGCCCAGCGCTGGTTCCGCTGTTCCAGATCCGCTCGTATAAGACACTCCACCGGGACTGAAGCGGGACTAAAGTGGGTGGGTAGTTTGAAGCAGCGGGGTAAATCTCTGGCTGTCCGGGAAGAGAAAACTGACTGTCTACTCACTCCCGGCTATTTCTTCTGCATAGTCAGCTCTCTGAATGCTGCATTACATCCGAAGGAACATGGTGATATATTTTTCTCTAGTGTAGTTGGTAGTGCATTATCTTCTAGTAGGCTATAGTTGATAATACATTATCATCTTGAAATTTTGGTTAATTATCTTATATTTATATAAGATGTTTTATTCTTTTTTAATTATATTTTATATCTTCTAGTATGTTCAGCAATACACTATCTTCAAGTTAAGATAATATATGCTAATTTTAAGTTATGTTATGTTGTAGGCTATATTATATTATGTTCAAGTATATTTAGGAGGTTGTTTTATCTTATAGTGGTCATGTCCTAGTATTGCTGGTGTAAAGACTAACCGTTATGTTATGATAAGAGCTATCTCTGTGTAACAAAACCCTTAAAAAATCATGCAGACACTGAATATGTTTTCTTTATTTTTTTTTTTTTTTTTTTACATTTCTACCTAGACTCTAAAATTTTAAAGTAAACATTTCAAATGAATTACTGAAAATTGAATAATAATAGGCCTAACAATAATTATTACATTTGATTACACACTTTAATTTGATGTAAAATTAAATTTTCATGTAAAATGAAACCAACAGCTATTAAGGGGCATTTGTAATAGTTGTCTTTAACAGAATAAATGTCCTAAATTGAAATATGCAATGACTTTACGACTAGGCCTACTTTACGACAAATGGACAGAGCTAGCATTTTTTTTATTGCGGGGTGAATCAATGATATTGAATGTGTTAGAGATTTTTGTCCTTGTTTTTAATAATTCCTGAATGTTCATCAGGAGCAGTTTTACCCAATTTGACTTAAAGGAGAGTACCCCTACAACACACACACACACACACACACACACACAAATCACTAAGATAGTTTGCTTTAGAGATGTTTGAGGACACTGATTTCCTATATATCTCCCAAACTTGTGTCCCCAGACTGTCTGAACAGAGCGCTTATAAATGTTTAATAATAGACTTGTTTCTTTTTTCCTTATAGTGCGCACAGAGATTGATTCTCAAGAGTGAAAGCTGAGGAAAGTCAAATGACAGACTTCTCCTTTGGACCAATAGAAGCCCCTAAATCCCAAGGCAGTCATTTTGATCAAGCTGAGTGCCTACAAGCCCCACTCACATGTTTGGTCAAGAGGTAAATAATAGATCAGGGATTAAACTTGTGTAGAATTTGTTCTAGGGTAACAAGCTACACACTCCCAGGATATGCATATTCATCTGATGTGCAAGGCCATGGCAGAGTAAATACCATATGCCCAGTAGTTAGAGATCTTAAATCCCTAATTAAATGAGATATTACTGTACATTGCTCCCTGATATTAAACAACAGAACAGAGAAGATAGACCTTTAAAGAATTATGAGTTATGGACACATTAGCATGTTCACGTGGGTTCAGTTTCCTAGCATTTGTCTAGGAATGAGTAATTCTCCTTTTGATGTTTTATGCAACTTCTAGCTTGTACTGATGTGCCATTAAATTGTTTTGAAATCAATTTCATAATCCTTTTTCAAAATTCCTTTCTTACTCTGCATGAAATAAGCTCAATGTAGTCAATTAAATGTCCTCATCATGTGGCAAACCATCCTGTAAGTGCAATGAACAAGTGGCGTCCAAGAGTTATGAACTCAGCAGCTTGACTCCTTTATTTGCTCAAGAAAAACATGACATTAAAGCAGCTTCCTTTCTGAAATCAGCTGCAAAAAGCCACCTGTGGGACCTGAATATAAGTATTGGTTTATGTCAGACCCCTTCCAGTTGTCTAATTACTCAAAGGGCAGTTGATGATGAGCTATTGAACCTTCAACCGGTTTTGGTCCTTTGGGACGACCATCAGCTGTCATAGACTGTGTGTCTGTTCAATAAATGCCACACGCAGTTCCTGTTTGTGGGTACTGAGGAAAATGTCAAGCTGATGGTGTCGCTTGACTTCTGGAAGGAGGCCATGCACGTTTCGCTCTAACTTCGCCGTCCACCCTCAATAAGGAAGTCATTTTTTACCATTGATCTCTTGTCTTGTGTAAACTTTCCCTAAACATCCTAGCTGGAACATTGATTCACGGTAGAAGGAAACAAAGTACATATTTGTTAGCTATACTTGACGCCATACTTTCAGATGATAATGGCCATGGACACCTCTTTGCACACATTCATAAGCATAAACAAAAACAAAGGAGTGAAAAGGTTCTCTGTGTTTGCCAGAGGCTAACATTATTTGAGCAGCATGATCCTCTCAGGGGAAATCTGATACAGCCTGTAGGGGAATCACTTCGCTCCTTTTTCCCACAATTCAACAGAGACACATGGGGCAAGCATTGCTCCCTCTACCCTGCTGGCTCCCCTTTCTCCCCCCATCGCCCACAGGAAGAGAGCCCTCTTATCAATCCCCTCATTATCCGAACCCACTGCCTGCTGAAGACAGTTAGAAGGTCATCAGATGGAGCCAGAGACTCATGCACGGGGGACAAATGCTCAACAGTGGAGCTTGTCCTGGGATGCAGAGCATTCTGTGGGAGCTCCGGGTGTGTTGCACGCAAGCGGATGGGCGCGTGATGACAGGTTTGCCGATGGGGAAGTGCAGAGATGCAGCTTTGTAGGTTGCATGCCATGGAAGCCACAGAATAGATGACTGTCTGTCGCTGTTATGAAGGAGCTGGATTTTTGCAAAGGCCTTATAGGTTCACTGCAGTTGCATTACAGAGAATTATATTAATAAAGAGTTCAGGACCCACTTTAACTATATGTACACATAGTTAAATTAATCATTAGAGACAATGCACCTATTGTGTACATACATGTTTTTACATTGTACTAATATTTAAAAGAATATTGGTAACTCTTTATTTTACGGTGTCATTGTTACATGCAGTAATAAATATAAATTATGCATAATTACATGCAACTAACCCTAAACCAAACCCTAATTCTAACCATAGTCATGTAGTTATTTAATTTTCCTCAGTACTTAAATGTATAATTACAGTGTAACAAAGACACCTTAAAATAAACTGTAACCAAAATACCTTTATATAGTTACTCATTTCTGTAGTCACATCTACTACTTAACCCAACCATGCCACGAAACCTAGTCCTAACTTTAATTGAATCCAACCTCAATAGCAGAAAAAAGTGCATGTTTTACAATTCAAAATGAATATAAGCAGATTGGGATATACCTAACTTTTTATTTATTTTACACAAAGTTATTAAAGACACCTATTATAAAGTGAGACTAGATTTTATTTTCTATTATTAATATCATATGGTATGCCCTATCCCTTATTATCATAAATTGTCTTTTTTGTCATTAACATTTGGTTTATGCTGAAATGTAACCAAGTTACGTTATAGGTTCTTTAAAAGTTTGGAGTAAATAAATATGTAATAGGATGTCTATTACATATTTATTTACTCCAAACTTTTAAAGAACCTACATACATAACGTAACTTGGTTACATTTCAGGATAAAACAATGGACGTGGGAAGATGGAGAGGATACAATTCTATTTCCCTTTTAAAAACCAATATCCTGGGGCACATAAACTGTCAGAATCAAGTTTAAAGCATCTACACTATCTCAACTGGATTTGCACACCCACATGTTCATCCTCTGGGAAATGATGTGTTGTGCTCCTCTTTAAAATGCCTCTCATTTCCATTCCAAAGTGACACTACCAGGTTTGCAGCCAGCATGTCGACAAAGCGAGCGTCTTGTATGTTTTTATAGCATTATAAAGTGCGACATTCTTTTCTTCCCCTCTTTATCAAAGGTAAACGCTCAGCAGATGACAGTCCTCCTACCTCGGATTGCAGGCGGAGAACCGGGGTTTTCCCAATCCTCTGTGGTGAGATACTTCCCGTGCTCTGCCTACTCAGCCCACCAAGGGATTGTCAATGCTTTCTGATTTTATGTGCTGCATGGTGATTCGGTGTGAATACATCTCTGTTTCTCAGTGACATGGAGAAGGAGGAACAGATGAGTTAAATGGAATCATTTTTTTTGACATCACCTCAAAAATACTGTGGCAGCAACAAAGACAATAGACAGAATCAGAATTTGTCAGGCTATGATATAAGGTTCTAGAATGCTTAAAATCACACATTCCTGCTACTAAAGCCTTAGATTAAAATAGGCTAATTACTAAAAGTAAAAAAATCTAAATCTAAATAAAAATCTAAATACAAAGCCAAGAACAACCAGTGAAGAGCAAAAGAAAGGTTTAAAACCTAAATACTCAAAACAAATAAAAATCCTAAAAAAAAGCAATTCAAAATTAAATGATAATACTGTAACAACAGGATTTAGCTGGATTTTAAGCTAAAAAATCCCCCCCCCCCCCCCCCTCCCCCCCTCACACACACACACACAGCTAACAATAGTGTCTAAGTCAATATCAGACTCTCATGAATAAAAGTCAAAAAGTGGTCTGACAAAGTTCATACCTTTTTGTTGATAATTATTCATGTTGTACAGTATAAATTAGGATCACTCAAGGATATTCTGTTTTTATTATAGGCTAATTATTTTTATTCTCTATATATTCTTTTCTGTTTTTGAATCCAGATTTAAACTAAATAGATAACTGGAAAAATGACTACTTTTATTTCCTACTTGAACAACATTTGCGTGGTTGTCT